GTCGCTGTATTTTTGGACATCAAACTTGACAGAAATTTTCCAAAACAACCAATAGGAATATCGACAAACCCTCACACGGTTTTGATGATTGATGCCTCGCGAATGATATAATGCAGTAGCTTTGTTGATGTGGTCAAGTTTGATACCCGATAAATTCGCTCAATGGAACGTCGGTCGTTTCGCGCTTTTAGGTCGCGCTCGCCTTATGATTAAAAAAAATTTAGGCAAAACAATTTTTATCGAATAGAGCATTCTATAACCTTTGCATTAATATATAATTTGTCGTGGTTGTCTTTAAGACAGCGCGGTAATAGTTTTTTTCGCTAAGGACACCCGCGAAGGTTTACGGTAACCTTAAGAGAGCTATACTTTTGGCTTGCTCTTGAATTAGCGGGTTTCTTTGAACAAAAAAAACAGGATTGTTAATGTTCCTCTTAAGTTTACTTCATCTCCGGCTTCACGCTCTGATGACACGACTGATTAACGGAGCGCGGCGAGGGAGAAGTATAAAGGATTGATAATTTCTCTCGTTGAAGCTTCGTCACAATTAAGACAAAACAAAATATCCTCTCACTGAAAAGACATTTGTCTTTTGCCACTTCTATATAACTTTACTTTAAAGTGTACTGGACCCAGAACCTTTCTTCAAACATTAGAGTTTAACATTATCAAGCCATTATAAAGTTTTAGAATCTCACCTGAAGAGCAACTGGCCTTTGTTATCAGAGACGACAGCACGATGAAAACACAAAAAATGAAAACAGTAGGCATGATCGATCCCTAAAGCGAGCAAAATCGGTAAACTGCTGAGTTTGAAGAAAACCATACGTTTATGGTTTCGAGTTTCAAACAGATCAGTGTCAATTAATAAGTTTCCGCTTTCGTAGGTTTTACTTAGCCAATAGGGACTTTAAGATACGCTACGGCGAGGTGTTATTACGGCTACTTTAGCCGTGAGGGACTAAGTTGACAACGGTGTTTTACCCGCCAAACTCAAATGAATAAGATTTTTCTGTACGGCAACGGTATGTGCAGTCTCTACGTGTCTTTACAAAAATGACTACTTTCAAGGAAACCAGAGATTATTCTACTTTCATACGAAATAGGCTTGATTAATGACAATGATGTCGTTTTCCTGTATCCGTCTTACATTTCCCAGAACTCAGGTTTGCCTTTTAGAACTTGATAGAACCGCCTGTAATTCCAACCACACAAAAAAACATAAACTCTGATATAAAAGAGCTCGATTTCAACACGGACAGGTTGTTCGTACAACGATTACGTGATAAGCCCGAAAATACAAAACTGTCGATTATAATAAAATATATTTTGAACAGTGATAAACAGTTATAGCTCAGATTAGAACATACAAAGCTTTCTTATCTACGCCAACGGCTGTTCGGCCCGATACTAATATGACTGAATTGATCATCTCGCGGTAGGTATTAAAATCGTTCAGATTTTCTGTACAAACGAAAAGAAACAATGATCTTGGAACTGATTGTTATGATTGAGAACTTTAACTTCAAACTAGGCTGTTCAAACAGTGAAAAAAGCGTTAAAATGAGACGTAAACAGCAGGCTTCTACTCACGTAGTGAAGAGTACGTGAAACCAGGCACTTTCCCGTTGTAGAAAGCAAGGCTACGGCGGGAAAGCAGCACTGGTACGCGTGTCATGACATCACCGGAAGTGATCTTTACTATTTGCCCCCGTACTATAGCCTAGCCGTACCATATCTTAAAGTCCCTACTAATTATTATTTGGCTGATAACGTTTCGATTATCATTGGTAATTTAGACAAAGACCTGTCTAGTGTCGTGGCTGGTTAGTTTATAAACAGGTGAAAATTCATTAATTAGACGTCAACAGATGTACCCTCATATAACCAATTTTGGCTGAATGTGTTTCTAGTAATTTCTAGTCACAATCAAACAGTAGTTAATGCCTAAAAAGACTGTTTTCCGGGATGAAAAGCATATAGAATATCATGCTGTTGGAGTTTGGTTTGCGTGTTATATTTACAACTCCACCAAGAAGTAAAATCGATCCAAAATACCTTACTAATTAAAATCACATTCAACAAAGAGATGGGTCAGTGTTTGACTGCCACTGCAAAGGTAACATTTGTCCTTCTCTGTTATCATATCCCTAAAGAGTCTACTTTTTGTGCACAGAATGTTGTGGTTAACCTTAAATTGTAAAGCTGACCTTCTGACATCAAGAGTTAGTTTGAAAGGAAGCTCATAAATATGCGAAATTTTATCCGCAGAAAAACCTGCCTTTTCAAGCTTTTCCGCTGAGGTGAGCTTCTCAAAAATCTTTTTTGTCTTTTTTGTCTTTTTATTTTGTCTAAGCGTCTTACTTGAGATATTTTGTGTATCAATAATCTTATCTTCGCAGTCGTTAGTTTCATTCTCCTTGTAGCTATTCTTGAGTTTCTTTTTTCAGCTCGTGGAAATAGCGTTTAAAAGCCCTAGGTACTGCAAAAAGTGTGTTTTAATGCCGAAGGTATGCTGGAAAACATTAAATGTCATTAGATTTCCATCCTCAGTTATCAGATCTTTTATGTATTTAATACCGGCTTCACCACGATCGATAGAATACTGACTTTCCTGCAGTTGTAACAAGTTTATAATTCCAAATAATCTCATTTTCCACTTCATTCTTGCTTAAGGGAGTGTGAGCCACAATCCTCTGCCATATTTTTCGCGACCAACATCACAAACAGCATGCATCCATCAAATAAGTTGAGAGTTTTGAGACCTTAGCTCCACCAGCTTAGGCAGAATCTTAGTTCGCGTTGGCAGGGGCGTGAAGATCACAGATTTAATTCCACGCTGACTCTGAGCTGTGATCATTTTTCATAATTGCAGCAATAATTTGTAAATGAACTGGTTGTTAAGATCCTTAAAGAACTTTACTTGCAGTAAATTTGTCTGCCAAAAGGAAAATCAAGAGTTGGTTAACCATTTCTCGCACAAAATTGTGCCTAAAGACACGACTAACTCACTTAATTAGTCCCATCACCACTTTTATTTATTTCACAACAACTGTACTACATGCTTCTTCCTGGTTTGCAGTTAAAAATTTCTTAACAATTCGCTGTTAACCAATTTTCCCTTAACAAGAAGCAGGAAAAATAAACATGCATAGTATAGAGTATAGAGAGTTAGCGGTCTGGTTGATAACAATGAAGTTGGTATCTTGGCTGATCCTCATACCGAGACAAATCTTGTTGAAAGGCGTGCTCCAGTAGGTCGGAAGTTTGTTCTCCTGATCATCAAGCCCAGTTTTTCCTCCTGAAATGTTGAAGGCGGCCTTGTTGCTCCAGAGATTGGAGTCGTAATGAAAGGTTGGCTAAAGAAGAAACAAAACAGCATTTGGCAAAATAATAGGTTAAAGAGAGAAAGTATGATCAGATCAGACCATTCTTAGATATGAGATGTGACTGAATAAAACAAAAACTGGAGTTAATCTTCGTCGCCGGACGAAGACTAAGAGTCGAAGCTTCCCTGAATGACCTGCACCGTTTACAAAGATTTATATAATTGGCCAAACGAAACAATAGCTAAACAGAACAAACCGGCATGCCTATAGCCCTAAGAACAATACAGGTGAAGGTTAACCTGAACGAATCAAAATAGAGGCTTTAAAGAGGTGCGCGTCAACCGAACGTCGCCATCAGCCTTCTTTAGCCTTGTGTCTCTCCACTGTTATTTGCATTTACACGTAATTATATCAGATATTAATGATTGATCTAATAGAGAGAAAGCAATGGTACCTTAGTGCCATTAATTTTCATAATAATAAAGTGTATTATCGTTTGTTTCACGATGTAGTCACTTGAGATGTAGATCACGAGGCGATAAAGTCGACTGATTGCACGGTATCATTTATATCACAAAGGTCGGCTGTGATTGGTGCATTTCGATCCTCCTATTGTTCCATT